CCCGCCCCCGCCTCCCTCCGCCCCCCGTCCCCGCGGTGGCGCCCTTTGACCACCTCTTGGTTTTGCAAGAGGCGTTTCCGCCGGCCTGGGGCTCCGAGAGGGAGCATTCCAAACAGGGACAGAATGTGAAGGAGGCGGCGCCAACGACCGAACAATGCCGGGGGTACATCCGCCCTTTGTGGTCAATCAGGTGAAATCAGTGGGGGCGCTAGGCAAAGCTCTTCGAGCACGGGACTGAAAAATGAGAAAAGAATGATGAAAGCAGTTGGCCTGGCCACTCTTTTCATTTCATGGTTCACGATTCCAAAAGAAGCGGTCTCCGCCACAGCGACCTGCCCTGTTCAACGTTCAACGTCGAGACCGAGTTGTTTGAAATCTTGTACACATGTTTGCTCAAGAGGGCAATATTAAACGTTACCGACTATTCTTGTATCTTGTGGTCCTTCCGGGCTGCCACCGTTTGGCTCAGTTTGTTTGGAACACCTTGGTTTGGAGCTTTCCCGGAGGCGTGGAGCGAGCTCTGATTCTTAGTGCAGTAAAACAAAATGCTCGCGCTGCAACGGTTGAAGTACATTCAGAGAGAACACGCGAAGTATGCAGAATCACGGCACCATGACGTGGCGCAGCAGTAAAAAGGCACATCCGTCCACCGCGACCGATGAATATTTTATTAGACTATTACAATTTCACTCTTGATTCGCGAGCGCAAAGGCGAATTGCGGCGCTCTTTTCCGCCACACCTGCGAGCCGTCGAGCCGCGTGAGAACGGAAACGGGTCGGGACAGAGCCACAATCACGCCACACGCCATACCGCGCCGGTCCCCAAAGCACCCAAAGTCACCAATCTGCATACGAATCATTTCAGAAAGCATGTGTCCTTCATTTGCCGTTGCGAAACTGCCACCTGCCAACGTTCAGCCGGTGCAAGCTCTGACAGCGCCTGATAGACAGGCAACATTCTGCTTGCGGCGCATGCGTGTACTGCGGGGTGGCCTACCCCGAGTCTCGCAGGCGACGAGCCTCGAGACCCCGTAATTTATCAGAGAGAAACGGGTTTACTTTCTGGGCGTTCCGGCCGCCAACACACGCGCGCGAACACACGCCATACGCCATGTCACCCAGTCCTCCAGTAGTGCCCCTCTGCCTGACTTTGGGACGCGTTGAGGCGGTCTGACTGAGGCGTGCGGTATAGTGAAGCCAGTGCAGGCCGTCTGCAGGCCCATCTGCTCCTACAGCACTGAGCGCTCCGTCTCATCTCACACACGGAGCGCCCCGATACACCGCAGCCGCTCCGGCTCACCTGGCCGACCCCC